ACAGTCTTTTGAGTGGTATGTGGGAAAACAAGACCCCCTGAGGATACCAAAATTGAAATATGCTCAGGTCCCTTGTACAGAATAACACAGCATTTGCGTATCAACACCACCTATCCTCCTGTAGACTTTAAATCATCCTCAGGTCTACTTACAATACCAAACAGAATGTTAAGCATGTAGTTACACTGCACTGTTGAAAGAATAACAATGCAAAAAGTGTGTTATACACATGTGATTTTTTCCCAAAAAAAGCTTACAATTTGAATTTGGATCCATGGATATGGACCTTGTAGAAATAGGGGACCATTGTACTTGAAAAATTAGCATGGCAAACTCTGGAGAATTAGCCATGTCTATGTAAATGCCACATCCTAGTTAGAGGATGGAAAAAGAAAATCCAAGTGGATGGTTTAATAGGGAAGCAGCAGATCAAGGTATTAAGCATTCATTTCATGTGAATACACATTTGCTTTCCGTATTGGTAGACGCTTAGTAGCAAAATCCACTATCTCTTCACAAACACAAAAATATGTTAGAGAAACCTCAGATTGTAAATGTATCTTTTTTGATGTACTGTTGTGCTCTACACTAAGCCAAACTCAATTAGGACTCTTCCTAGTTTTCACACACACACACTAAACATCTAACATTTGGATATTCATGGCAGCTGCGCCAGTTACTATTTTTAAAAAAACTATATTGCAGCAAATGGCTAATAGTTCCAATATATTGAGTTTAGGTAAAAATAAATCACAAAACACTCCAAACAGTCATACTGTGGTATGGTCACCTTCACAACTTGTGTACTGGGGGAAGGGCCCAAAAGTCTGAGGGTGACCCCACAGCATCTGACAATATCTCTAATGAAGTTGGTTGGCTAGCTAAGTGATACTTGTGAATATTGACTACTACATGCCATGTACAGTATTTGAGTGTATTTTGTAGTTTGCTAATTTCAAAGCTTTTCTTGATATCAAATATTTATTGCATAAGTTTGATACAGGGAAAATACTGAAACAGGAAGCTCAAGAGTCCTAACTAGTCAATTTTAACCTGTCTGGGTATTCTTTAGTCTATTAAGTTCCCTTAACCTGTTTAATTCTACAATTACTTTGAAACCATTTATGTATTCTCTCACCAACTGTTGGCACATGTGCCAAGACATCAGTCCTGTGTGTGTATTTCACTAGGTTTCTAATTTAACACACACCTAATTAAACTAGAGTATTTTCTTATTGTCAAACTTTAGGTTGTAAAAAATCTGGCTGATAGGGGAAAATCTTAACAGAAGCGAAAGCACCACGCAGTTACGGAGCCTTTTGTTCATTTTCATGGACTTCTCCTTCATTAAAAAAATCCTTTTAATTCAAACTTCACAGAGTTATGCCACAGACTGAGTTCTGAATACCATTAGTTTTGTATCTGACAGTAAGTCCAACAATTCAATTTCCTGTAACTGCTTCCAAACCATGGTCTGTGACCAAGACTGACAGAAGACAAGTGCTTTCGTAGCAACTTTCCATAAAGTTAAAGCAGATTTTTACATGCATTCCAAATTTTCTAAACTGTTTGTGTCAAAAATTTTTAGGAAATACGTAATACACAGTTCTATCAATTATTTATTGAGAAAACAAAAAGCAAACACAATGGCCTCCACACTTAAACAAAAAAGCACTCTGAATTAGAAATGTTTGGCTAACACTGCCTTAGCCAAAATGACTGTGAGGTAATTTTTACTACACACAGAACATTGCCAGTGGTATTTTTTCCTTTAAGCAATCCCATTTTGTCTATGGATTAACTGCTTTTTAATCTTGAGCTAAGTGGTCTTAAGCATTACCTCCTGGAAGGACATAGCATGTATCTTAATCCTTAACCACGCAAGAGTTCATAGCTTTACATATTAAATAGCTATGTGAGGAGCCAGGTGTGGTGGCACAACTGTAATCCAAGCATTTAGGAAGCTGAGCCAGTTTTGCTGAGTTCAAGGCCAGCCTGGGATACATAGGAGTTCTAGATGACCCTCCATCACATATGAATTTTTTCTTCATTTGGCCCTGGGAATAGAACTCAGAACCTTGCAGTTGCAAGGCAGGCACTATGCAACACCCCTGGCTCCACCCTACATTACAAAGAGAGACCCTGTCTCAAAAAACAAAGAAAAAAAGAAAACCTGAGTCCCCCTATTTACTTTATCCTTCAAATTAAACCAAAACTGTCTTCTTCAATAAAATAAAAATGGGCCATTCTACAATTACATTTTTTTTCTATTTAATATTAACTTTAAAAAACTCCAAGTCAGGTATGGTGATGCACTCCTGCATCCCAGCACTTGTGAGGCTGAGATGGGAGGAACATAAGTTTGAGACCAGCCTGGGATACATATCGAGTTCAAGGCCAATGTCAACTAGAGTGACAGCTTGTCTCAAGAAAACAAAATCAACTATTCTAATAAAGTTCAAACTTGAAATTCAGGCATTTACCTATAATCTTATCAATCCTAATATAGTAATCACAGGATGGCAGTTTACCTTTGATTTTAAACCCATCTCCCCAAGATTATGTAATGAGTGGGAATTGGTTTTTAGATGTTTCCTAAAACCTGTGACTGGTGTACAACCTGCAGCCTACCATATTTCTTTTTCTCCTTGTTTGAGTGAATAGAACTGTCTTAGTTTGCATATAAAATAGTTAAATATATAAATAACAAAATGTACTATTTTGTGACACTGGGGAGGGGGGAGAGTGAGTCACAGGTTGGATGTGCCAGCTAGAAATCCTAAGAAAGCCTGAATATTAAACACTGTCCACCTATGAGTGAAGTAGCTCTTTAAAGAGCACCAGGAGGTAGTGTGAGTTATTTACAGACATTCATATAAAAACATAGAAATAAACAAAATTCCTGACAATCTTGCAATTCAAACTTGTTAACTTAAGTACAAAGATATCTGAATCACACATAAATTTTACAAAAGAAAGTATTTTCCCAACCCAGTCTAAACTAGCACACTTGCAAAGAAATCTGAATTAAATTTCAGTCAATAAAATTCACAAGCCAGAAGTAGTTTAGTGCTCACGAGTTTATATTTTTAGGTTTGATAAAGATTCTTGTGTATTTTCTAAATACACAGACAAAACAGTTTTGGAAGTTTACATACATGTCTTAGGACATTTATATTAGGTAGGTAAATTACATTTTAAAAAATTGGTCTTCGTAAAAGATCCTCCCAGAGAGCTTTTACAAACAGCAGTCAGGAAAAAAAAAAAAAAAAAAAAAAAAAAGTGTTCTTTTATGTTTACAGTGTTTAAAATGTTGATTTTCCCACTTCATAATGGCCTCAACCATCCCTCTCCTTAGCCCAAAATTTTGTTTTTAAGTGATGCCATAAAATTCAGGGCTAGAAAACATTAAAATGTGCTTATCCCTAGTGCATTTTGAATGACTGAGAAGTATTTAAAACTTCATTTGAAAGCAGGGATACAGCAGCAAAAACAAATCCACTTTCCATTTTAAATCCTAGTATGACTAAGAAAATGCCTGTTTGTTCATTTTTAAGAGTGTGTATTATGTACCATATAAATTTAAGGATCCGGGTGACTGAACGGCACAATAACTGGGGCTCATATCTAGTCTTTCAGTTTAAAAAAAAAATTACCCTTTAAAAATGAAAATAACACAACCCACTAATAGCATACACTACACTGGGGTTTCGTATCTTAAGTCCAAAGGATAATTGCTTTATCAAGAGGAAGAGTAATAAGGATGTTTATTTGGGGGAAGGACACACAAAATTCTTAACATTGCTATTTATATGTTCAGTATAAATCTCCATAGACAGACTTCTTTAAAGAGCTGCAGGCAAAAAAAAAAAAAAAAAAAAGTTGTTTAAAGAGGCAGCAAGAGAGCCTCCCAGAAAGCACGGGCTACAGAATTAGACCTGACCAAGTCTCAGCTCTACTGCAGCTGCATGATTAGGCAAGATTCTGAATCTCTGAGCCTTTCTTCATCTATAAAATGGAGACAATAGCACCTACCTCAGAGGGGTGAAATAATACACACAGCACAACGGCAAGTGTGGGCACTCAAAAAGCATTGGTAGCTTTTGGAATCATTTCTCCAAAAAAAGAATCTAAATTTTTCATGTTCAGAAAATCATAAAAATACTTTTGAAGGTTTAGATTCATAAAAAAAAAAAAAACCCAACAGGGTTTTTTTTTAGTATCAGATTTCCCCATAATACATTATATTCCAGTCATCTTTAGGCTTTATGATTATATTAACACAAATTCCAAGTACAAATCCTTTCATTTTCTATTCCTTCTTTCCAACACTTTTCCTCATTTCTCCTCTCTTGCTTCACATTTGTTATTAAACAAGATCTGTAATATACTAAGATGTACCAGTGTTTGAAAAACTTTCCTGTCAACTAACTCATTCAGCTCACACTTCTTCACTGGAATGGCTCCATTTAAACCAGCTGTGTCCTCCCCCACCCCAAAATTTCAAAACTATGCATCCATGTTTCCCCCTCCTATAATGTTTGTTTTTAAATAAGCTCTCAATTGCTTAGGATGCTAATGTTCAGGAAGTTATCTAAGCATAAAAATAAGGGCCAAGACCCGTAACAAAGAGGGAACCATACAGAAGTAACTCTTTTAAGAATCCTCAAAAATATGATCTTAGATTAGGAAAGGGCCTGTTACTATACAGTGAATGTGAAAGTTTATAAACCTCCCTTAATTAAAATTAAAAACTTTAAAATATTTTTCATTTAAAATATAAATTACGAGAAAACTTCACCAAACATTTAACACATAATTCTGCCAGTTTCAGACAAAATTATGAGTATTCATTCCATTGATACCTCTCCAAGACCAATTGTAAGTCCTTACTATCTATCAACTTCCTGAAATTGTACTTTAAGTCAGAAAAAGAATATACTTAAAAATAGAAACGTCCAGTAGTATACCTTAGTACTAAAACTATTAAAAAAAAAAAAAAAAAAAAAAAAGATCCAAAAGGGAAATAGGCAGTCCCTCAAGATCATGAAACAAAATAAGTTAGGCAGTCAGCAAGTAGAAAATATCTGTAGATTCTGTTTCTGGTAAAATGTTTACTCAAAGTAATTTTTATATAGGCTGAGGCTAATATATTCAAGCAGTATAAACATTTTTCCTTTGGATTACCTAAAAACAAACTTTTAAAATATCATATGTCAGATGACTAAAAAATATAGCCAAATCTGTCACAATACAACATTAAAAATTAATGGATAATTATAGATTTTAAATTAACAGTAACAAGCTACCTACAGCAAACCTTTCCAACTAAAATCAAAACAAAAGCACAACAATCCTGTAGTGTACCAAGTGTGTATTTCAATTTATGCAACCTAACAAAAATTTGGTCATAATTTACCAGATATACAAATATGATTTAATAAAAGAAAATTCAGTTTCAAGAGAATACGTTATCTTGAGGAAAAGTAAAAATACATTAAGAATGTAAAGCCAAGTCCAGTTTCTATGCCATAAGTGAACTATAATCTAATAAAGCAGATTTAGGTGATTTTTTAGATATATATCTTTGTTCTTTAATATATATTTATATAGACAGATCTACCAATTGTAAACTATGGTTTAAAGGGGATAAAAAGGATGAGAGAAATCTTTATACTATACTTACATATTCACAAAGCAGGACATTTTATGCGTAAAATACTTTTTCACTCATCATATCTTTGCCTAACTAATTTCTATCTTGGATCTCACTAGTATTACATGTTACTCATTTCTCTAGAACATCGAGAACAAGATGTGGTCTTCAGTTTTAAGCAAAAATCAATCCAAAACTATTCATTTGTCAGGCTTAGTTATGTAGAAACTACAAGAAAGTCTGGATGACAAAAGGTACAACTAACCGTGGAACTGGTTCTGTTCTTTGATTCAGCCAAGCAGAGATTTCACTGCCTGACATTAAATCTTTACTCTAGTGAAATCAGAGAAACTGATACATCTTGTTAAAAGCAACTTCTCAACTCTGACCAGATGGAGCACCAAAAGGATTGTCATCTGTCAAAGTATCTGCAATATCCCCCACACAACTAGCATAATTTAGTTACCTGATATAAAATAGGAAAATATACTTGATTTTTATTTTAAAGAAAGCTGAAAATATGATGTTCCTCCATCTTATATAATATACAATGTTCCCAATAAATGTTCTCCACATTAATACATGAAATGCTGCTGAGTTCCACAATCAGCTAATTCATCATCTAAATAAATCTAACAATAAACTTAATACACCACCTTTTGTACCCGGAAAATTTTAGTTAATAAAGCCTCTCAACAATTTATTTGTAAGATTTTTTCATAATTTTTTCAGACTATTAAATCAACATCGTGACTACAGAAAGACTATTTCAAGATATAGTGACTTTACGGATGGGAAAATAAATTAGTGTGATAAATCAACAATAATTTCAAAAACCCAATTATCCCAGTAAGTATGAAACAAAAGAAAATGTACATTTTGTGTTAATTTTAATGATAAAAAGGGCACAGGAATAGAAACCTGATATTTCACTTATACTGCATAACAAGCTAACCAAACTGGACATAGAAGATAAATTATGAAACAAATCATTCTTGTTTCTATGACTTTTTAATCCGTTTTTTGTCTCTCAAATAAGGCTGAGGTATAGTACACTGGTAAAAATAAGAGGCAAACAAGAATAGTGCCAAAGTAACAGATACCCAAAAACCAAATACCACATTTAAAAAAAAACAAAACAAAACAAAAAAAACAAAAAAAAAAAAAAACATTATATAGTAACCATTTATCAGATTAGAGCAGCAGGAGAAAGTTACTTCTAAATCATAATCATTTTAGTGGTCTTTGTCAGCTTTGCCACATTAACTTCGCAACATCATTCTTCATTTATAAAATTCATGTCAGCAAAGGGAAGGGGCTGGGGAAAGTCAGTTCATTCCAATAAATTACCTCTCCAGTTCTCATACACATGCCCATCAGCACAAAATTGAGAAATACCTAAAACTAGGAGATTTTGTTTTTAAGTTATGAGGCAAATTAAAATGGAAAAATACAAGAAAATAGAACCAATGGGGTTGAAAAAGCCCCTCACTGAAAAATCTGTATTACAAAAAATAAAATTAATAAAAATAAAAATAGAAACAAAACTCTACTAGTACAAACTAGCCTGAGTGGTTTGATGGACAGAGTGATTGGGTCAACTGTCACTGTACTTCTACAAATGAATTTTCTTCATTCATGTTAAAGTGGCACATGAATATAAGCTATTAAAGACAGGTACTATATATTCATAGGACCCAAATAGTTACTGTATATCCTATAAATAAAAAATATTTTACTTTGATAACTGACTGAATATGTGGGGACTCCATGTAAGCAACCACATGGTTGTTTGCTGAATAGTCCTGTGCAAATATAAAAAAAATTTTTTTTGCTATAAGGCTTTGACCCTACAGTTTTCACAGCAACATAACTACCATCCAGCATGTACCATATTTTGCAAGCCTTCAAGTTCAACAATCCAAATTGTCGATTCATATTATGTCCAAATGCAGCATCCTTGAGGAGTATAGTAGGTCAGTTAATCATCCAGGGGCATACAGACATCTCCTGATTCATCCCATCGAGGTGGGTCATTCTGATCTTCTCCATCATCAACCAGCTCTTCATCAGCTTCTCGTACTTCATTCTCCTCATATTCTTCATCCCGAGGGAATTCTGCATCCTGTCCCTGATCTACACCTTCTTGCCCTCCTGGTTGTGATTTATCTGCACAGTCTACACAAACACCATAGCGACGAGATCCATGTCTTATTCCAACACTGGCTGCTAACATGAAGATCTTCTTACACACCATACATTTGTATTTTTTATCCTTTGTATGCACCTAATTAAAGGGGGAAAAATCCAATATAAGGATAGTATAGAAATAGAATGCATGTGAACCACTCAAATTAAACCACAATGAGTGAATATATCAGTGTTTTAGTATGAAGCTCAGAATCATTTCACCAATATATTTTTTGTTTAAAGCAATTTAAGAATCATCCTTAAATTTGTAAACAACTTAAAATGCTTTAAACTTCACTGGCATAAACATTGTTTATCACAGATTGGTTGTTATTTAAAATTACTTACCAAGGAATGTCTTTTTACATGTTCTCTTCGAGTAAACAGCTTCCCACAAATATCACAGCTAAATGATCTCACTCCCGTATGAATGAGCAAGTGCCTTTTTAGTGTTCTTCTGTATTTGGCTACATAGTTACAATGAGGGCATTTTAACTTGTTCACCATGATTAGAGATGATTCACCTTTAAGAATTAAAAAAATTAAAAGAATTTTTATTAAACTCGCTATCAAGGCTTCTCTCTCCATCTCTAATAGCAATTAATATAGGGTTGTGACTTACTTTTATAACCCAGAATAAGGAAGTATTTTAATTACTAAGATTTTAAAATTCTGCCAGATGTAGTAAAAATGTATGCCTGTAATTCAGGAGGCTTAAATAGGAGCATCCTGACTTTGAGGCAAGCCTGGGCTAACATAGTAACTTCAGGGCCGGCCTAGGCTAATAGCAAAAACTCATTTCCAAAAACGAAACTAAAACTCAGAATTCTCTATTTGTTGGGGAGGGGAAGAGGGTTTGGAGGGAAGAAGTTATATCATATATAGGTACAAATTTTCTATGATGAATGCGATCATTATACATACCTAAAATGTATCAATAAAATTTGACTGAAAAAAAATTTCTATTTGTTTGGCTAGTTGATACTTACCATTTTCCCAAGTTTCTTGTTTTGGCCAAGATTCTGGCAATAATCCATACTTGAAATCATTTGAAGCACCTGGTAGCAACCCATACTTGAAATCACTTGAAGTACCTGGTAGTAATCCATACTTGAAATCACTTGACAAGCCAGGTATCAAACTGTATTTGAAATCATGTGAAGTACCTAGTGCAATAAAAAAAGTTCCTTGAATCCAGAAAGCATCAGACATAGGAGTAGATACAGCATTCTCCACAGCTACTGTTACTCTGGTCCAATCAATCAATGATTCTAGCCTCTGGATTATTTTCAAGGGCTGCTAACTTGTCTCTCAGCTCTCCCTTACTAGCATTCCAGAGCCTGTACTTCACATAACAATCAAAGCTTCTTTAAAATACCAACTCAAAGCCTGTCACCATCCTATGGAAAGGCTGAAAGGGTTAATTACCTACCTCACTCCAAAGTAAAAAGCCAATTTCAACATCCTACGCCTTGGAGGGTGGTGTCCTTGCCTCCAAGCACCCAGCTTGACACCTCCATTGCAACCCTTTAGGCCTCTGTGTGGTTCAATGGTAAGCAGATGCCCACTTCAAGGCACTTACGTGTGTGAAAAACTCCTTTCCAAGGTATGTGTATGCATACCTCGTTTATGCAAAAACACAGGCTCAGAAACCCTAACCCAAAAACGTGAAATCTGGGGCCAGGGAGATAGCTCAGCAGTTTCAGAGCCTGACAGGCAAACTCAAGGACTCAGTTGAGATCCCAGATACCAGCTTGGATCCCTGGTACCCAGGCTGTGCCAGCCCTACCCTTGGCCCACCCAGCCCACTACTGAAACCCCCACTGAAACCAGGTGTGGTGGTGCACGCCTGTAATCCTACCACTGGGGAGGCTGAAACAGGATCACTCAAGTCCAAGCTGTATACTGAGACCCTGTGCCAAACACATAAATACATAAACCAAACACCCTCCCTCCCAAAAACCCCCTGAAATCTGAAATGCTTCCATATCTGGAGTTTTGACCACCACATGATGGCTCAAAGCTTCTCATTTTCAGATTATAGATGTTCCACTGGTAAACCCCATGGAAATATTGCAAAATGTAAAAAACGATATCTTAAAGCACTTGTGATCCTAGGCATTTAGGATCACAAGTTATACCTTAATTTGAAATAAAATTTTACTCCCAAGAACACTGCTGTTTTAATAAAAGAATGCTTACCAAAGTGTATTTTATAAAAATGTACTTTCTTGCATTTACTGGACACTTAACAACTGAGGGATGTAAGATATTCCTTCTTTGGTGAAAGCTTCAATACTTTAGGAAGTAAAAAGGTACTTAATGTATAGGGGTTTTTTTTGTTTTATTTTCCCCCAGTATCGGGGATGGAACTCATATGTTTCTAAATCCACTAATGTAAATTGTTTTTACTTGGAATACAAGTTCCCTATTTTTGATGTCAAAAAAGGCCTTTGCAGATCACAAGTCCAATCTACTAGTGAGACCCTGAATACACTGTAGACTCTTCCAAGGCCTTTGAAATCATAATTTGACTACAATTACTGTGTTTTCAGAATTCCAAAGTAAAACAGCACTTCCATATATTCAGGAAAAGGACTAGGACAGCAGTATCAGACTACTGAGGTCAATTTTCAGTTTCAAATTTCTAAATAGTTGTGGCTTTATGATTCACACATCTCTCCTCCCCTCCCCTCTTTGTCTTTTACAAATAGGATCTCCATATGAGTTTAGGCTGGTCTTGAACTCACAATGGTCCTCCTGCCTCAGCCTCACAAGTGCTGGGATTACACATGTGAGCCTCCGCCTAGCCATATTTCTTATCTAAGTCATTACACAACAAATTAAGCTCTGAAAGAACAAGACTGTCTTTCTGATCTTTGTAGTTCTAATATCTAAAACATAAAAATGTCCACCAATTATTTGTGGTTTTTTTTTTTTTTTTTTTTTCTGATACAAGCTTTTGCTACGCAGTTCAAGCTAGCCTTGAATTGACTTTGTAGCCCAGGTCAGCTCCCACCTCAAAGTGCTCTTTCTGCCTCAGCCTCCAGAGTGCTGGGATTATAGTGGTGTATCACCACAGCAAGATAACTAATTTTTCACTCACTCAAAATACCTGGAAACTAGGTATGGTTTCCAAGAAACTATGTTAGAGGTGCCAATGTGTTCAATTTAATATTCACAAAATGGATACAATATACTTAAACTTTTACGAACTGCTAATCAAAACTTCAGAATTATTTTTGATACCTAAAATTGCATTTCTGTATAAATGCATGCATGGTAACAAGAGACATTTAAGAATACAAATTATAAAGTCTTACCCAAAATTTTTTATATCTCTTCTAATTAGCAGAGATTACTTATAGAAATAATAGCCTGAATAAAGGTATTGTCATTATAATTTGATCTACTCCATATTGGTTAGTGCTCAATATCTTTCTAGACACATTATCCCATAATGGCAAACTAAAGAGAAAGCAATGTTTTTGATGTCTTAAGACACAAGTTGTAAGACAAGAGCTGATCCCAGATATATAAAAATATCAATGGATTAAAATGACTCTCTTCCTACGACAAATGACTCTAATTAAGGGTTTAATTATTATTTTATTTTTGTGTTTGAGACAGGATTTTGCTATGTAATTCATGCTGACCTTGAATTTATCACGTAGCCCATGCTTGGCTCAAACTTACAGTGATTCTCCTGCCTCAGCCTCCTGAGAACTGGGATTAAAAATGTGTGTCATGATGCCTGGAAGGGGTTTATTCTTTTGAGACTGAAATAAATGACATGGATCCTTTTCCAAACCAAGAAAGCAAATGTAATACTCTTGCTATATTACTAATTTTCTGTACCAGCGAAAGAACGAACAAACGAACGAACGAAAGAAAGAAACAGAAAAGAAAGATTGATTTAAAATCTAATGTATCTGACCTGGGGCTAATTTCAAAACTAGTTCTAATAATTCTCTTCAACGGTTAGGGAACCACAGATACATAAGGCAGTCTCCTTCAAAATGTGCTTAAACTTGGCATGGTGGTACATACTTGTAATACTAGCATTTGGGAGCTGAGGCAAGAGGACTGCTGTGAATTCAAGGCTAGCCTGAGCTCATAGCAATATTCTCTCAAAAAACAAGCCAAGCCAAGCCAAGCCAAAACTCTAGCTTAACTTTTATCATTTAGAAGCCTGCATTCTTTTTGTAAGGAGTGTCCTAATAGTCCTTCCCCAGTCAATTTTGAAAGTCATTTCAAAACTATGTAAGTTGAAGCATCAAGTATCCATAACACTTTAGCTTTAACAAAGTTAATTCTGCTGTATGTTCTCTTTGTGTACTCAGATATGTTTACAAACTATTTTAAAACTTTATTTACTTTAAGCCCCAAAACAGGATATAATCTAGAACAGTGGTGTCGAGTCTCTTAGAGATCAATGCCCAAACTGCAATATAAAATCACTTACTTATTGCAAGGTACCAACATTGCAATTAAACCCAAATACTGAGGTTTTAGTTTAGCAAACACAACTCATACATTAACTTTTTAAAAAATTTAACATCTTGTCTTAAAAACAAATAACATGCATGTCATAGATCTGCCCCAACCATCCTACAACACCAAAGAACACCAAAGTCCTACAACACCAAAGTCCTGATTAAATCTTAAACACAAACCACATATCCACATTTAGAACTCTTCCCAAAATGTGTCTAATTCTCAGGTAATCAAGATCCATACTACATTTATATGATCTCTTTTACTCTGCTTGTCTTTCATGACAGAGTTTGAGCAACTTACTACATAGCTAGATGTACTTAGGTCTGTTGTTTTCTTTCACAACTAGATGCAGGTTATACTTTTTTTTTTTTATTTTTTTCAAGTGTTCTTTAATTCTTTTTTTTTTTATTTAGCCACATTATTTTATTTTATTTTTTTTTGTTTTTTTTTCTACAGTTTTATTGATAAACAGATAGCAATGAGACAGTTTCAAATCAAATCGGAAGTACAGTTTCAACAAATAATACACTGCATACATTCTTCTTAGTGGTTAATTGCTGTACAAGATGTGGACTTGTAATCCTATTTACAAACACCATTAGAACAAATCATTCTATTCATTAAGAGAATGCAACTATATATCTACCCCAACCACTTTGAATACACAGATACAGAATGGACATTCATCGGTGTACCCCATTTTTCCTAAGTTCCGTTATTGAATATTATAGGTGTGTAAACTCAGCAAAATATTCTAAAAGAGTCCAGTAGCCCATAATAGCGTTGGGTCTTCTGTTTAACTGGCAATGTCAGAAATTATTGACCTGAGTCCCGCAGGTTATACATTTTGCAAGAATATTACACAAGTAATGATGGTGTGCTAGCTAACGCTGTCACTTTATTTCAGTGTGTTCTTTTCTTAGTGATATTTTTACTCAGGTGGTTTGTATTAATATTTTTCAGGTCTTTTTATTATAAAGATGCCTTCTCTCCCTTGCAGTTTTAAGTAATCTGTAGAATTATACCTGAGATCAACTGAAAATGTCATTCCCCAGGAACTTTTTTTTGTACTTCTGACAGGGTCTCGCCACATAGTTCAGGCTGGACTTGAACTCACTAGGTAGAGTCCAGAACTTGCAGCAATCCTCGGCCTCAGTCTCCCGAGGGCTGGGATTATAGGTGTATGCTATGACCCCTGACTTCGCTAGCAAACTTTCAATCATAAGGAAAAACAAGCCTATTAATAGTGGCTTAACATCTACTGATGATGGTAAATTATTTCTTATGGAGGGGTGTACCATATTTCCTCAATTCTATCGTATTTCTATAATCTCACATTCTTTGGTAAAGAAAAGTTTTATCTTTACGCTATCTCACTCATAACATACTCAAGAGAAACTTTGCTTTTGTGTTCATCCAGGGTTTCTCCAAAGTATGGTACAGCTGATATAAGTCACTACAACATTTTCAATGGCCATCAACGGTTAACTATAAGTTTTCATCAAAACCAATTAGACTATATTAGTCATGTTTTCTAGTAATTTCCATTACCATTTTACCTGTGGGTGTTATACAGGAAGTTATAAGCTTTATTAACCACTTTTGATACTTATAAAATTTTAAAGTTCTAATAATCATCCATCTTATAGTGATGCATCATACCTATGTTTATAACAGCATTAAGTCACAAATTTAAATTTAGCCAAATCTTGGAAGCAGCTTACATCTATCAACAAGTGAAGAAAAATATGATATTTTTACACAATTGAGTACTACTCTCCCATAAAAACAAGTCATTTGTAGGAAAATTGGATGCACACTGAGACCATGTTAGGTAAAATATATCAGACACTATCTTAAATATGAAATGGTTTCTTATATGAGAAACCCAAAGTGCAAATAAATTAAAGAGCAACATAAGGAGACACAGGGAGATCTTTTACCCAAGGAAGAGAACTAAGTGGTGGAGGAGAGAAGGGGATAAAAAGATGTGTTACCTACATGTACCAACTCCCCATGGTGAATATTACTACTATGTACTCAAAATATGCAATGGCAAAATTTAAATATTAAAATTAACCCATGAGTAAGATTCTCAAACAAAACCAGGAATACCAATATGTGTTTACCAAGTTTCCAAAGTCATCATAAAGCTACCACAGATTAAGTACTGACACATATAAAGACACTGTATAAGGCCTCAGTTAAAAAATTAAAGAAAAAAACCAACATGCTCATCTTCAAGTTCTCTTAAATGCACTCTTGCTAAATCATACTGCACTTACCAGCATCGCCTCCATCCTGAGCACACCAGGCTTCAGCCAACAGACTTGCATTTACACCATCTGGCCCTGAGAATACAGCACCATCCAAATCTGAAAGGGACACACACACAATAGTTTACTTAAAACCACACTACAGCCACTGCCTAAAACTCTCTTTGAATTGTTTTTCATGCAGACTAAATAAAAAGGATTATCTGCCAAGGACTGGATATGTACTACATGCTGAGTACTAGATAGTACAGAAGCCTAAATCAGGACTAAACAGAGTTAAACTCAAGGAGAGTAATCTGTGCCTGCTGTAACCACTAAGTGTCTACCCCAAGTGTCACTCAGGCAGTGCGTCTGTTTACTACTACCTGGAGCATTGCTCAGGCAGTGCCCTTTTACCCAGGATTCTTGTTTGTACTACATATACTTGTACGTCTGTTTGTGTATTATAGATTATTTTTTGCACACTTGTTTATTTAGAATATTATATTCTCATCTGATGTTTGTTTCTAGTGAAATCTACTAAGTAGTTCTGGTTGTTTTACTAATTAGTGCTTGTGAAAAATAACCTGCAATTTGGCGCTATGATCTGTAAAATCTGTTATATTAGATAATTTTTATGATTAACAACTCTGTGATTAAAAAAAAAACTCTGTGATACTCTTTCAAAATAAACAATACACATTTGGGACACAGACTGAATAGAAGGGACATGAGGAAAAAAGAAAAACTGAAAAGGTTAGCATATCAGAAGTTTGTTATGAAATGGAAAAAAAATTTCTTCATTGCTAACTATTCGTAATACAGAAATGATAGAACTTGAAAAAAAAAAGAAATAAAGAACAAAAAAGTCCAATAGTGGTCAATGATTACAATAAATTATATGAGTCAGGGACTGAGTTCAATCCCTGGAGTGCCATGCCGGCCGTGGCCCCAAGGTGTACCAAGACAGAGATTGAAACTGGGCGAGGTGGTGCATGCCTGTAATCAATGCTTGGGAGGCTAAAAACAGGAGAATCACTATGAATCCGATCTGTGTAGTGAGACCCTATACTAAATACATTAAAAAAAAAAAAAAAAAAAAAAAAAAAAAAAACCTTAAAAATTCTATGGGTGGTGAAGACAGCTGAATAACATCTAATAAGATGTCTTGGAATCAAAAAACAAGAAAAATACTGTAAAATTTTTATGCACCTTCTGGACCAAACACTATGGGATGTTTGCTATTTTTTCAAAACATGGGGATTGAAAATCATTTACAATTTAGATAGGTCTCACAGGCCAAATAATTGAAAAATACAAGATACCCAGGACACCTGGGATACCCATCATCGATGTCTTCATCATTACATTTAGAAGGTAGACACTGTATTAAAATTATATTTCCCACAGAAAGGCCAAAATGACTGTGTACAGTGTTGATCAAAGACAGACCATAATTCAAGAACAATTCAGTAAGAGACTAGACACTTCTGTCCAGACTGTAATATAGGTTATTGAGTATTTTGAGATATACCATAAACAGACCCAGAGCGCAGGCCTGGCAAGTGAGTGAGACGACCGGGCCGCGGGATCCTGAACAGACCCAGAGCGCAGGCCCGGCGAGTGAGTGAGACAACCGGGCCGCGGGATCCTGAATAGACCCACAGCGCAGGCCCGGTGAGTGAGTGAGACGACCTGGGGCCCAGGGATCCTGAACAGACCCAGAGCGCAGGCCCGTGAGCCCAGCACGGAACCCTTCAGCAGAACTCCCTGCAAAGAGGCTAGAGGCAAGACCCACCCAGCTGATTCAGGAGCAGAACATCTTCCAAGAGAGACACAAAGGGTTCAACTCTAATGGCTGCAGCAGAAAGAAGTGGAGCACAGCAGCCAGATCCAAACAACACCAACCTGGAGGAATACGAACTTCATAGGTCCGGACCTGGTGCTAAGGTAATAACTCTAAACTCTACACCAAAGGTCAGAAGACAGGTGTATAAAATGACAAAGAGAAGGAACAAAATGCAGTCTCAGGCCCCGAGTCCACCCAGTACAAATGCAGAAGACACTAGCACTGAGGAAACTGGAAATCACATGCCAGATATCTCTGAAATAATAGCACTCACGGTAAAGAATCAA